GGAGGAGGAGGAGGGAGGGAGGAAGGGAGGGAGGGAGGGAGAAGAAAAAGACGAAGAAGAAGAAGAGGAAGAATATGGAGGAAGAGGAGGAGCAGGAGGAATTAGAGGATGAGGAGGGGGAGAAAAAGAAGGTATTGAAAGTAGATTTCTCCTGCAGTGGATTTAGCGGCGCGCACGCCGAACTGCTCCGAATGATATTTTTTGTTCAGTGTGTTCGAGTGTAGATCTATGTCTAGATCTAATATCTAATCTTCTTCTATCCCGTGGTTGGGGCAACCGTTGGGGCACCACTGTATTGGAAAACCAGCTCTCGCCATCTATTTTTGTAATATTTTATCTAGATCAAGATAAAAAGTTATAAAAGTCATGAAAGTAGATTTCTCCTGCAGTGGATTTAGCGCGCACGCCGAAGGATGAGTGTATTTTGTGCACAGTGTCTAGATGAGATCTAGAATATTGATATAGAATCTAGATCTGAATCGAGATCAAGAAGAATTATGAAATGAAAGTAGAATCTAGATCTGTGGTATTTCGATAACCTATTGAATATTGAAAGTGGATTTTTATTGCTGTGCATTATAGATTCTAAGATCTAGATCTAGGCTAGATCTATAATGTGAATCTTAGATCGAGATCAAGAATGATGAAAGTATTGAATATTGATCTTTTCCTGCTGTGAATAGATCTAGAAGTCTAGACCATCTGTGACGCCTGTCGGTTGTTAAAAATGTGAATTTCTAAGCTTAGATCTATCTATGGGCCTAGGCTCCTTCTTTCAAGGCTTATGTCTTTATAATCCTTCGAGATCTAGGCTAAATCTAGAATCCAGATTAGGTTCTTCCAGGAAACAATAATTGGAATGTAGGCCTAACTCTTTTTAAAAAAATGATTGAGCTGGAACTTAAGGAGAAAAAGCCACGTCTTCGAAGAGGGGGGAAAAGTTTTACCCCTAGAGGTAGACAAGAGGGGTGCTACATGGATAAATTCAAGGTAAAATATTTGTTTTGTTTCTTTCCTGTTTTCAGTCTTTTTCCTCTTCTTAACTTTCCTAATACTTCTTCACTATTATTCCGTTCGTAGAACGGGTACTTTAACTAGTA